AATCCCAAAACATCTGAAGCACCACTTGAACACCATCAGCATTGACAAAATCACCATCAGTCAATTGCAAAAGGCATCTTTACTTGAAACAGCTTACATCCAATGACAATACCTTTAACACCATCAAACAACAACATCTGCCTATCCCAGGTCCTTGGGAAGGACTCAATAGGTGGATAAAAATGCTAAATCCAGTCTAAACTTGTAGGCAACAAACCATAATAATAATTTCTAGCTTGTTACAAATATACCATAGAGACTTTATAGATGTAGATAGCATTCAGATTGGCATAAATTGTAGGATACCCTGCCCGCTCTCAATATTCCAAAGTCAGCAGGAGTGAGGACAGTCTGATTTCAAAATGTTTCGGAGGGGTTGAGGGAGGAAAAATCATACTGTGTGGAAGTACCCTAAACATCATGGTTGCCAAAATCTTCCCTTGATTAATCAATTCATTTGTTTCATTTATTTAGGACAGAAAAATCAAGCAAAGGCTACAAGAAAGATATTACATATTTTTTTGTTGTTGTTTTGCCCAAACATCTTGATATTCTGACTTTCCCTTTAAACATGCTAATGTTGACTTATTCCAACATCTACCAAAGCAACTTAACTAATTGACTCGTTTGATATAGTGTTTTTTTATAATATAGGCAATAGCCAAAATACAAATGTTTGAAAGTTAATCTGATAAAAAGAAAAGCACGTACAATTCAACTGCCCTGCCATACTGGCATGTTCAGTAAAATAGATGTAATAAATTTAGAATGATATCCCTGTAAAAGAAACAACATAAAAGAATCGATCCCATTCTGATATGGAGTCTGAAATCTAGTGATACCTTGTTAGATCCTTTTACATCCAAACTTTTGTTGGTGGTTGAAGTGTATGTGTATGTATTCTGTAAGTGCATGTAAGCATTCCTAATAGCAGGAAGCTGACTTGAGCAATGATTAGTGAAGCAGGCTTTGATGAGTATAATAGAAAGGAGATTTGTTTATAGGTAAGTATAGGCAAAGCCTAGCACCTGGCTTACTGCAACCTAGAAGAAGGAGAATCAAAGAGCATGTTTGACTATGTATGTGTGTAGTGGTGAGGGGCCAGGAAGAGAAAGACAACAGGAAGTGGCCTGAGATTAGCAGTCTCTTTAACTCTATCTACATCCCACTGCCCCTTTGTGGCCAATAGATTTTGGTTCTGAAGAGCTAGCATCACTGAACAATTTTTGAGTATAAAATAATAAAATCGGATTTGGATGGGAAAGAAAAACTAGAGGGAGGGGAGATGATGGTGGGGAAAGCTGAATGTGGAAAATGAACTTGTTGGAAGAGATAGAATAAAATGCAGGGTAACATAAGATGGACATTTACAGAAATGGATTCCTTTTTAAGAAATTGGTGAAGGGAAGGTGGGTTCCCCTAAGAAAAGTAGGGGAGGGACATCTGGAGTTTTACTAAGCTTGCCATGGATGAGGGGACTATAGAGTACAGAATCCAAAGGAGGTCCATGTACAAACTCTGGGTAAGTCACTACTATGTGACTGTGTTGTGCACCACTGTCACAGCTTTGGTGTAGAGCTTTCTCAGAATGGTTAGTTATAAGTGACCGGGTAAGAGACTAGTCAGGAGGAAGATTTCTACATATTCCAGAAATCCCACACCCATTGTACAGAAAGAAAAAAAATCTCCTTTTGTATGCATATCAAAAAAGGACAATCCATATGCATCTATTTTATTGTCATATATACCCAATCTTTTATTTAGTTTGCAAATAAAGCATTAAAACATTAAAGTATACTTGAAATGGAGTGAGATGAGTTCCTCAACAATACTTGGAAGTTATATCACACCACATTCTCATAGAAATCCATGGAATTTTACCAGAACTACTTACTTAAGTGATAGAAATATAAGGTTTGCAGGCTAGAGCATACCAGAGTGGACCTGTTCCAGTGATGAGACTTTAAAGTAAAATTTAGGGCTGATTTACATGTTCATGTGCATCAAGTAATTCCCCACAAAATAGGTGATGATTCATAATGGAATGTATGACCAGCCTCCACCCAAACACATTATGGATGAGGTGATGCAGTAAGAAAGTTCTAAAAGGCATTACCTGATTTGGCACTTGTTGAAAGTAAGGAGTACCTCAGTAATGATATGAGTGAAGTTTTAGACTGCATATATCTCTAATCCTAGAACAAAGAAACAAAAAGTTGTTATGCCTTTGGGGTAGTTTCCTCAATACTAAAACTGAAAGTCACATCATGTTTACACGTATATTCTGTATGTGTGTGTGCATGGATGGATGGATGGATAGATAGAGATAATAGATAGATGATAGATTGATTGATTGACTGACTGACTGACTGACTTCATTGATTCACTGGGAAATAAAGAGAAGCAGAAACAAACAATAATATGCCCAAGGTATCCACAGCATCTGTATTTATTTTGCAACTTGTATTGCTGCCTTTGGGTGACATATGGAAAGAAAACTTCTATACAATTTTAAAAGGTAATAATTTCTACATGAAAACCCTGGGTTGCAAGATTAAAAGATCTCCAACACCAACAGAACATAATATCCTAACAGCCAAAGATCCAGCACAAATACTTGAACAAGATTGCCATGGCAAGCCAAGCCATTGCAGCAAAAATAGAACGTTAGTACGAGGATGCTTAAATCATTTGACCATTATGCTTTACAAACAATTTGATCAATCCTCCAGGATAAAGTGGCTTTATTTCTCTCTCTGTCTCTTTTTTTCTCTTTTCTTTTCTTTCAGATGATAGACATGATGTATTTTGTCATTATTATGTTGGTGGTTCTGATGAGCTTTGGTGTTGCAAGGCAGGCAATTCTCTTCCCCAATGAAGAGCCTTCATGGAAACTGGCAAAAAATATTTTTTATATGCCATATTGGATGATCTATGGGGAAGTTTTTGCAGACCAGATAGACCGTAAGCAAGTTTATGATTCTCATACTCCAAAGTCAGGTATCAAATTTTGATCAGGTGATATCTTACAAGATTATTGTTACCACTCTCAATAAATGGCTCAAGATAGAGGATTCAAACATTACAGGAAAGTATGATATAATTAAAACTGTTAATTTCAGAAGGTAAAATCAACATTCTTATACTACCCAGGCTGCTCTTTTCACTTTTAATACTTATATATCATACTAAAACACACAATTTTATTATTTTAATTATTCGGGTTATCGGGAAAGGAATCCACATATTAAATGGAATATCGAAGACATAAGGTGTACCTATAAAAGAAACGTGCGCTTTGGTGTTCTACCATTTTAATTAATCATTGCCTTCCCCTAAGAATCACTGGTAGGGCTGAGAGGTCCCAAGTACTCCTCAAAGAGGTACATATTTGAGGAGTGATTGTTAACCAGTTTAAGTTTGTAGTGTAGATTATATCAGTTGCCATCCATTAGTTTAATGGTGGAATGTACAAACGCTGTTTGCTCATCGACTGTTCAATTCTAGAAGTTACTGCACAAGTAACTTCTAGTTTTTTACCCAGCACTGAAGTTACAGTGGCATTACACTGATTTATGCCATATTCTTTTGACCTGTTTCTGCCACTCTGTTCTGGTATATTAGTAAAATAATAGTTATTTTAAAGTATATGATACTTGTTGTCTATGTATTGAATAAGGAAAGTATGCCATTTGTACTTTATTTAGAATTGGTGGGGTATAGATGCTAAGGGATTAGGCTACAGTCTGTGAATTCCCTGGACCAAATTGCATTCCTTGCCATGAAATCTCTAGGTATCCTTAAGAAGCCACTCTCTCATTCTTAGTTTCCCTAACTACAATTTAGGGATAGTAATCCTGATTTACATTACAGGGCTGTTCCAAGAATTTCAGCTACATAATATCTGAAACATGCCTGAGAGCATTATACAAATGTTAAATTTCATTTTTGTGTTCCAAACCTGGAGTCTATTTCTATTTATGTTGTTATAAGAATTCATTTGCCTGGCCCTCTGCAAACATCAGTGTTCATTTTTAAGGTATCTTCCTGATGGCTATCCATGCAATGTGTCAGAACAGATCACTGTTCATATGAAATGTTGGAGCTGTAGGAATGAGCAAGAAGACCTTGTGGACATCCTTAACACAGGCAGGCATGTAGGAAGAATATAGTCAGCTCACCTCTGCTTGAATGCACAAGGATGGCGTTTAAAAGTTCAAATTCACTCTGAGGGTAGTTAAAAACTTTTTCAGCTATTCCACAGATCTATCATAATTATCAGATGCTTCTTTCAGGAATGAGCGTGCTTCTATATTGTAGCTCAAACTCATGCAGAATTCAGTTACGTGGAATATAAAAAAAAACGAAGCAGGTTGGTTTTCCCAGTTATTCAGATTTGGGTTAAAAAGAAATTGCTGCATTTTTACTTAACCTCTTCTTTATTTTATTTGCCCACCAGAAGGAAACATTTGCTGAAATACCTTTATGTATGCTCTTTACTTCCTACTATTTATAAAAGAAACCAATATCATTCTCAAAAGAGACAGAAAGGGCAATTATTTTTTCCTCTTGCAAATTATCCATCCTTTTTGTTCTCAGGTATAACATGGAATTCAAGTGAACAAAAAAACCTGCCATCCATAGTGTCCTTAATGACTTTAACTTTCTGCTTGACTCTGTATTTATTTTTTGTTCTGAATTTGGGGCTTAGGAAGGCCAAGAAATGGGAGAGAAATAGAATCCCAGACTGTGGGATTTCTTTTCATAAATGTCTGTTCCTCTACAAGTGGCCATTTATTGATGTCGTACTAAAAATCTTCTGGCATAGTGCAACATGTTCCACAGCAATTTGGCTGAGGAAAACATGCTTTTTCTTGTCGTGCGCTGATTCTAGTTTAGAACCCTGGAAATGGAGAATGGAAAGGACAACAGAGCATGCCTGTGGTTCTCTTTGAACAGAGGAGCATATGCTTAGACCCCACATAGAGAACTATATACATCTGTTTTAAATATACACTGGTGACTGAACTTCTAATGAAGCTGCAGAAGTGATTATTTCAGCATGAAGTGCTTCATACTATCAAAAGTCAGATTGTGAAAGGCCATGCCTCACCCTCCTCTTGAAGACTTGATGATAGTTTATTGAGAATTAATGAATCCCGAGGCTGTTTTAACCTCAGCATCCAAATGGAGAAGGCAGAATTTGCCAGCGCTTGGGTAATGCAGTACTTGAAAAGACCTATTAAATCACTATGATTTTGGCTAATTGCTTGGCAAAATAGCCAGATGATAATGTTTGTTTCTAAGATAGATATCTACACAGAACACAAATCCAAAATGCATAAAGAGCAAATATTGTCTGACTGCATTTAAAGGATAATTTTGTTCAGTCAAGGTATGTAAAAGTTGGAATATGTCCCAAGATAGGAGAAACTGAGATCTGAGAGAAATTGAGATCTGAATAGATGCTATCTGCTAATCTAGGACTTAAAGTCCTTCTTTCTACTTCAGTATATTTTATTTTCAACCTATTTAATGTTTGTTAGATGTGTCATGGAAAAATATTTATCTGTGTATACAAAAAAGAGAGGGTAGTAAACCACATACTGTACTGTTATTTATAAATTTGGGGTACTATTTTCTCAATTTTTTGGAAAAGAAAATATATGACTACTTGTCTCCACACTGGCCTAAGCTAAATCAGCCACAATTTACTATGCAAATTACTATCTTTCTGAATTATCAGTCCATCTATCTTAGAGTTCAGTACCACTTATTTAAAAGTATGTGCTATATATGCATAGATTCAGGTTTTTCCTTTCCTTTTCTTGCATTGGTATTACTTCTTACTAATCACAAATTCTGGGTTCCTTTTAAAAACCCACATATCTCTCAGTATTTATATGAACTTAATTTTATAAAATATTTCACTGAATTTGAGAAACATACCAAGTATTATATAAGACTCTAAGATAGTTTTGGCTTTTTGTTTCATTCTTTTGTACTGGTACGTGAAGCATGAAATCTGGCTGACCAGGTTAACAATCAATGTCTCATCAACTGGCAGCCTCTCCATTCAATGAATGTGTTCTGTATTTGTCTTAACTTTTTTTAAAAAAACAAAGCATTTAATGGTTTCTGGGCTAATGCATGTTCCCTGTAATTGGGTTCTGCTGATGGGGTATCAATAAATGCCTGAATTCTTTTGGAATGGGAAAAACAGTATGTATGGGCATGCTGGATTGCACTGTTAAATTTTGAGCTTCATTTATAGAAATGGTGAATTCATAATTACTTAAAGTAAGAAGAATTTTATTAATTGAGACTCATGGAATCAGCTTTTTAGACTTCTCACTATGGATTTGGAAGAGAGCAAAGCTTAGTAATCACTTCATGTCTATAATTAAAAGGTTTTTAAGTACCGAAGTTAAGTTGGGGGGGAAATCCTGAATGACATTTTGAAGAACTGCTGTCTCTCAAGGTATAGTAGGTAATAGAGATACCCTATCATCTTGCTCAGACCATTTAACAGATGCATAGGATGAGAAAACTACCTATACAAATACCATAGGATGAGAAATCATGATGAGCTGCTGTTCTGTATTATTCCAATTGCTTGTTATTCCATCCAAAGGTGATTGATTGATTGACTGATTGATTGATTGATTGACTGATTGAGCTTTCGAGTCATGTTTGACATATAGCAACTGCCTGGACAAGTCCCTGTACTTTTCTTGGCAACATTTTTGGAAGTGGTTTGCCATCGCCTTCTTCCTAGGGCTGAGAAAGTGACAGGCCCAAAGTAACCCAGCAGGCTTCATGCCTAAGGCAGAACTAGAATTCTAGTCTTCTGGTCTCTAACGCACTGCCTTTAACCTCTACACCAAAGTGGCTGTCATCTAGAGACAGATAAACTAAAATCCATTCACATTTGCTTAGCATCTGCTCTACTAAAATTCAGCAATTAATTAGAAAGGCAGCAGGTCCTCAATAAATGTCCATCTTATCACTATGTTTTTTTCTGGGGCTTTCCTGATGTATATCTCTGTCCTGGCAGTTCTATTAGTCTTTATTAGTTACATTTATATGTTTGCTACAGCTGTGATACTTTTAAAATTTGATCATAGCATGGGAGAAAACTTTTGGCCTGAACTCTTTCTTATGTCTGAGAAGATCTGTTAGTACCACATGCAAGTGGTGTGAAAACAACAGCAAATTGTTTTATTCTCATCAACTTGGTGGAAAACCTTACAGAAGTGGAGCCATATTTATGAATACGTTTACATAAATATACCACAACACGTTTAATCTACAGATTCATACTCTATTTTTTTTCCCTCATGAATGCACTAGAATGAGAAACAGGAGAACAGGAAGACAAAGCAACTGGAATACACAGGACCTTTTTCCATTCATATCTTTATGAATGAATTTAAATCTCCTCTTCCCCACCATCTACTATACTTCTTAGCTGAGTAGAAGAAGAGGCTGTTCCTTTGGCAATCACCACTTAACAACACTCCAAGCATTGTTTCCTAGATGAAACACTTTTGCTCACCACTTAGCTTTCTTATTAGGTGAGCAATAATAAAGCAAAAGATCCATTATTTAATTTAAGATAGTGATGATGCTATTCTCCTGAAGCTATAGTTAGTGCTGGATTTCAACTGCAGAAGGTAGTAGAATGTTCAGGTCTAAGTCTAAAGGAACCTCTTTCCTTTGGCCATAATAGATTCTAGATCTTCAAGCAGAAATTCTGATAGAACGAGATCCTGTCACTTTAGAAATCTTGATAGATATCAGAAGCTATTATACAGTGGACCAAGCCTATAATGCAATGTACATGCAAGGGCATGAAGAAATCCATTTATATATAAGGAAAGTTATGCTCTTTTCTATACTATTAGCTCCATACTGTTTGCTGATTCTGCAAGATTGTCACATCTCATTTTCTCAAGCATCCATTCATTATACCTACCCCTGTTCCTAGACCCATTTCT